GCTTTAAACAAACAATAGCTTCTTCTAGAGAACAGAACATCTGAACCACCAACATACACACACCTCAAACCAGCCTCAAAATTGCATGTAGCACACACCGAAAAAAACCCCTGTAGCACAGCACCACCTTGTCTTTCTTAATGTTCAATGTCCCTGTGATTGAGAGAAGGACCCAAAACAGATCTATTTTTTCTAAATATCCTGGGGCACAGATGCCTGTTTTTCATTGGCCAAGGGAGCTGTTATCTCTGAAGCTTCAAAAGAAACATTAATTAAGCAGCTCTTGTAACTCTTGCATTTGTGGGTACTTTGAAACCAAGCTGTCCAAAAGTGATAAGTTTTTCTGGACACTTGACTTGAGACACCTTCAAGGGATTTGATTTTCAGCAAGTGAGCGCAAGTTGGGCACTCAAAAATGGAGGCCCATAAAGCACGGGGCACTTTGAAAATCTACTTTGCCAAAATATTGATTGTTGTTATAGCTGTGACTAGACCAATCGCTACTAGATTCGGAACCTAAAACATGGCTTGCAGCATTCAACTTAGTGAGGCAGTGACTCTGTCGGATTTCACAGGTTCAAGCTACACCAGAACTTGGCCGAGACAACTAGATGTTGCAGATAGTTGTGCTGGTGCATCACTAGGTAGTGCTCTTCAGCATTGCTGCCTCAATGAGGGGCAAGGGGACTGTGCAGCTGAAGGATCACATTTTTAACGAGCTGTCATACTTAGATGCTAATCAACCAGACAAACAAAATTACAGCAGCTGTGATAGTTACTTAGCTAGTTGGCCTTGGCCTGTTTTTCAGATGTGCTGAGCAACCACAAACTCAGCTGATGCCAATAGAAGCTATCTCTCATATTTATACTGCTAAATAATACATGTAGAGACTGCACAGCATCAGTGGCTTGCTAGCCTTTCTTCCTCTCCATCTGCCCAATAGCCGTATTTCAGCTAAAGAATGGCCACGGTGGTACCATCCCATTTCAGGCAAAACAGCTCACTCTTTGCTCGTTCCTTGCTATCTCTGCAGATTTTCTCAAAACTACACTAGGCCTGGCCTATTCCCTAGAGTGCCATAAAATTACAGCATCATCACAATTCTCTTTCAGTATATGTTGCTATTGATAACATCTGTCTTTTATCTTTCTGTGTCTTGGGATAAAGCCAGGGTGAAGATGGAAGGAACAAATTATTTACAAGGCAGATTTGTGTTTTATATTAACATCTCTGAATCATAATCTGTGGCTCTCTCTCCTACTACAAAGAGCTGGATCTGTGGACCAAGCCCTATCTTCAAGACAAGCCTCCAATCTAATCTGATAAGCAGAAGGAGTAATCAGTAGTCTCAGTTCATACAGGTGTCAATTGGTAGCTGTCTCACCATTTGTACCGGGACACAAAGGAACTTGCAGGCCACTTAAGAACCGCAATCACTTTTAATTTCCTTTGAAAATCATAGTCCCATATGATAAAACTCAGCTTTTTTCCTGAGAGAACTGTCTTTGCACAATGTCCACTTCCAACAGAAGTTAGGCAGTTGTTCTGGGTTGTATCAGAAGCCGGCACATTTCCTTGGTCTCACATGTGGTCTTCACTATCCAAAAGGAGAGATCAGTAATTTTTTGCACATGGTTTAACTATGTGAACAAAACCCTAAATGTTTACACCTTACAATTCCTGGACTTCCATCACCAACCACAGGTATAATTCAAATTTCCTTAAATTTGTGATATATTTCACTTCCTGGGTACGTTTTTAAAACTCGTTTGGCATTTAAAACAAATTCATTTTGGTCTTTTTCTGCTCCTTTAGCACTCACTTTTTGCAAACATTAGTTCCATTTAGTTTTAATTTAGTCCCTGTAGACAGTGGGGCCAATAGATTTGCTGGGCCTGTGGGAAAGTGGGGAAGGGTATGGCTCCATGCCCCTGGAAGGGGCAGGGCCTCTGACTGAAAGGAGAAGGCTGAGACTACCCTCTCTTAGAAAGTCCTCAGCGCTGCACGCAGCACATAGTGCCTGCCCCAGGTAGCCCTCCACGCTGTCTAGAGTAAACTGTGTGGGGCTCCAGCAGCAATTTAAAAGGTCTGGGGCTCCAGACTCCACCATTGCTGCAGTAGCAGTGTCAGTGGCCAGAAACTCTGGGCATTGTTAAACTGGCAGGCCATTGGCGGGTATGTCAATAGACATACACATCAATAACTTGCTGGATTGGCTCAGAGCTTATCGATCCTATCAGTCAGCATTCAGAAACAATACCATCTGATTCACTTGACCAACTGTAACTAAGCATGAGCTTGAATCATTAATAACAAGCTATAGTGTAAAAGAAATATGGGAAAAGGGTCAATAAATAACATTGAACGGTGAATAAATCTGAGAAATGAACAATCTGTTCTCAGGTATTTTGTGAATGGAAAAAGTGGTGAAAATTCAGTAAATGAAGCTGCTGCAAATTATTTCCTACTGGCCAGTAGGTACAGTATATATTTAAATGCTTGATAAACAGAGATCAGCTTGGACCTCCATCTCAAGAACCCCTGAAAACTGGTCCAGATACACAATTGGCATCAAAACTCGAAATATAGTTAGTTAGTTCGAACTAGGGAGGCTAATGTAGGCATTCGAAGTTGCAAATGAAGCCCGGGATTTAAATATCCCGGGCTTCATTTGCATCTTCCCGGGCGCCGCCATTTTTAAATTCCCCTTAGTCTGAACTCCATGCTCGCGGTTACACGCGGCACGGAGTAGGTAGTTCAAATTAGGATCTCTAATTCGAACTACCGTTACTCCTCGTGGAATGAGGTGTACCGGTAGTTTGAATTAGAGATCCTAATTCGAACTACCTACTCCGTGCTGCGTGTTGCCGCGGGCACGGAGTTCCGACTAAAGGGGATTTAAAAATGGCGGTGCCCAAGAAGATGCAAATGAAGCCCGGGATATTTAAATCCCGGGCTTCATTTGCAACTTCAAATGTCTACATTAGCCTCCCTAATTCGAACTAGGGGGCTACTGTAGACATACCCCTACTGACTTCAGTAGAATGACTTCTGATTTACATCTCAGTACATGAGGTCATCATCAACAATGTATTTTAAATATATTCAACTATATCAGAAATCCATCCAGGACATGTTTTCAAAAGCAAACTATGACACTGAAGGTACATTTTTTCATGGCTAAAGTTTGCATGTTCAAAATCCCTGACTTGTCCATGCAGGTAGCATTTGAACATGTAAATCCAGTGCTTAATTATTGACTCAATTTGCATGGACAGATGCATTATGTATGCAAAAGGCTGTTTCTTCTGTAGCTGCAAAAATTGGACTGTTGAAAAATTAGCTTATCAATTTAGTAGTTTGGGTTGAAGCCCCCTGGAAATGAACAAGGAATGACAATGGGCTCAATTATCAATATTATGAAATCTGAATAACTTTGAACTGAAATCTACGAGCCAAACACCCTGGAATTTTGGTGAAGTTCATCTCTGGAGCTGGAGCTAATCTGTTCGGCTTTGGTGCCTCTCTAGTTGGGAGTTACTAATGTTCCCATAGTCAAGCCAGCTCCCCCAACACTGGCTCCTGCTTCCCCCCTTGCTGCCTCTCTCTGATAGAGGCAGCAAGGGGCGGCGGAGAAGTGACTAGCTGACTAGTCGATTAGTCACTTACATCCCTACTGTAGCCAGGGACCAGGAGTGCAGCCCTGCAGAAATGCACCAAGTCCCATGACTGCCGGGCTATGCTCCTGGACCCCATTGTGGGTCTGCACTTCTGGCCCCCAGATGTGGGGCTCCTCAGCCACCCTGACTCTTCCACCCAAGTGTCCCCCATCCTGGCTCCTGCCCCTCCCTCCGAGCCTGAGCACTGCTAATGAGCTCCTGAAGTTCTGAGAGGGGGAGGGAGGAGTTGCTGAGTGCTGGGCCCAGCTTTTCCCCATGAATGCTCCTTCCTGGGAGCACACGTGGGGATGCCAGACCACATATATTTCTGGGCAACGAAAGTCCAGACTATAGAGGTCCAACCTGTAGTACTGATGCCATGGTGAATACAGTGATTGTACTTACTATACAACTGGAGCAATTCTGGGGTCATTATAAAAAACGCTTATTTACTGTCCTAACACCACTCCCACTGAAGTCAATGGGCATTTTCCCATTTACTTCCATGTGATCAGAGTTAGGTCATTGCTTAGTTCTTCTGAAAATTCCACCACTGAAGCATCAGGAATTGGTAAGTGTTGAAGACAGAACAGGGACCATTAGTATGTTCTGATACTGAAATTATGTTCTTTTTAGAGTACAATGGGTAGATCTTTAACAACAGGAAGAGAGGAAAGCTGTTAGGGATGGAAATCCAAGTCTGCAGCCTCTCTTGCCAGCCTCCATTGACAGATTCAGAATGGTAAATACACTTTGGGTTTACGAATATCAACAAGCAACTTAACAATATTCCTTCTCATGTGTCACAGACTTCTCAGTAATCTATGTTATTGCATTCAAAACAGAGGGGCACTGAACCATCAAAGGGTGATTGCCAGGGCTGTGCAAACTGGCTTAAAGAAAATAAGAAGTGACTGGAAATTCTATAAAAAAAACTCATGCCATTTTGGCAATCTAGCTTTATTTTTTAATTATTCCCTCATGACTCTGCTCCATACCTTCCCAATATATGGTGAAAAACCTGTTTCACTGGTGTTTCTGGTCCTGAAAAACTAAGCATGAGTTTTAATAGGACAAAAGGTGGAAACTCAAGGTGAAATTTAATCTCATATTTCCAGAGACAGAGATAAAAGTGGAGAAACCGAGGAACTTTTGGCACAATGAACCTTGCGGTCTACTGAGGTTCACTCATTGCTGGTGACTGAGTCATAGGAAGTTCTCTCAATGACTTGGTTTAACGAACTCGTAGACACTTTGATCACCATCCTGACAGCATCTCCCATATTACACTCAGGTGGGCTATTCATAGTTAGAAAAGACTCCATAGTTATTTCTCTTACTCTGAGAAAGCTGTACATGCAGATGGACATCCAGTTGGTGAGCATCTTTTCCACCACAGACTCAGTTCTCCTCAGCATAAGCTTAGGGTTTTTGGAAGCCGAAGCGTCTATGAGGTCCACCAATAGATCCTTCATGATACTGGTATAGTACTCCAGTTTTCCATGTAATGCAATAGTGAGCAAGGAGGCCAAGTTACACCTGAAAGAAGAGTTATGAATTATCTTAGGGTTTATTATACAAGACAGTAGTCAACAGGCACCAAAAGAATCCAAGGCAATATATCAGATATTTTTCATGACGTCTCTCAAGTTACTTTGAAGTTTCAAACTCTTTCAATGCTATTGGTTCTCATGTTGGATCATGCCACTCTTTCACAGTAGAGCCTTAGAGTTACAAACACCTCAGGAATGGAGGTTGTTTGTAACTCTGAAAGGTTAGTAACGCTGCACGAAATGTAATGGTTGTTCTTTCAAAGTTTACAACTGAATACTGATTTAATACAGCTCTGAAATTGTACTATGTAGAAGAAAAATGCCATTTTTCCTTTTTTTTTTAGTAGTTTACGTTCTACACTGTACTGTAGTGTATTTGCTTTTTTTGGGAAGGGGCGGAAGGGAGAGGAGGAATCTCTGCCATTTCCTGATTGTGTACTTCTGGTTCCAAATGAGGTGTGTGATTGACCGGTCAGTTTGTAATTCTGGTGTTCACTGCTCTGAGATTCTACTGCACATTCTTCAGACTCTGACATTCAGCTGATAAGCCCATGTGGCTCAGCCTTCAAATAAACCAAAGGAACTCTCCAGAGACCAGATGGTTTGGAGTTTGACAACATGCTATAGAACCTTTAATCTCTCAGGTCATCAAGCCTAAGTCAGTAGCAGGAAAAATCTGTGCACAGTGGTCTATGTGAAAGGTGTTTGTAGATCACTGTTAAGTTACCGGTAGGACAAGATGTCCATATCACAAAACTGACACTAACTGGCACCCTTTCTGATAGTTGCAGAAGATAAGCCAGCGACACTCAGGAGCCTGACCTTCCCTCTGAGCCTGGAAGTGGTCCTTCTGGGTTAGGGTTAAGCAAGTGCTGCTGTAGCACTCCAACTCTGGGGGTACAGAGAGGACTTCAATCTCCAGGACTTAAATGCAACCTTGCCCCAGCAGGTTCTTACCTGTCTCTAACAGCAAAGTCCTTCTGCTGCTCAAGAGCATGGACAAATACGACAAGGAAGTGTTTGTTGTTGAGAAGGGTGGAGAATAAAGCAATTCCTTCTTCCATGTTGGGCCTGCAATTTTCAGGAATCTAAACAAAAAGTGGGGACTTGGATCAGAAAACCACAGTCCATTGCTTTACCAACCTTATTCTTATCTGACACACTCTGATGTGCCTACCAAGTGTAAAATCACTGGGCTGCGTTTCCCTCTCCTTGGGCCTCATCTGATGTATGTTTCTTAGCCCTGGTCTACACTAGGGAGTTATTTCAAAATAACCCCCCTTATTTTGAAATAATAAGCAGAGCGTCCACACTACCACGCCTGTTATTTTGAAACAAAAGGCTGGTTATTTTGAAATCTGCACTCCTGCTTTCCTTGGGGAATAATGCTGATTTCTAAATAGTTATTTCTAAATAGCTTTAGTGTGGACGCTCCACTGCTGCTATTATGAATTAACTGTGCCCCAGAGTAATTTGAAGTAATTAGTCTCCAGTGCTTCCCAGGGCTCTAAGTCGAGGTAGCGTGTCCACAATAACAGAGCCTTCCTTGGATTAATTTTGAGGCTCCCCTGCAGTGGGGACATGCTGTTTCGATTTTGTTATTTCAGGAGTTATTTTTTCAAATGTCGTTGTTTTGAAATAACTTCCTAGTGTAGACGTAACTTTATTCAGATAAGGACTGATTATGGAAGAATGTGCAACAACTACTCTTCTATCTGGGACTGTGGGAATTGCTCTCAAACCCATTTACAAAGAGATTGTGGATTGAAATGGGGAAAATGTGGCAAACCTTCAGCTAGGAAAGCCTATGGATGATCTTGTTAGCTGTGATTCTTTAGCCATGGAGCACAAGTTCAGCAGCTCTTGTTTCCTATCATCAGCAAAGGCTGATCAGCTGACACACATCTTGTTTTTCTGGCTGTCTGGTGTATGCAAACATCTTTGTCAGCATCACAAAAAAGGTCATATAAAAAAAGAAAAGAAAATTCTGAAAAATTTGAAATATTTTGGTTTCACATTTTCAAAATAAAACATTTTGAATTTTTATTCAAAATGACTGTTTAAATATTTACTTTAACTTTATGTTTTAAAAAATATCAAAAGTAAAAATTAGCTCAAAATTGAAACAAAATGTTTTATTTTGAATTGAGCCTAACTTTTTGTTTGATCCAAGAAGAATTTGTTTCTTGACTTTTCTATTAGCTGAAAATTTCAAAAAAAATTGTCTTCAGTTTGACCTGAAATTCTGCACCCCCCCAAAACACACACTTTTTTTTGGAATCGCTAGTGCCTTCACTCACTAAGATTATTGTTAGTGATAATTTAACAGCATTTGTTTATTGCTGGGCTACTCACTTTCCATTCTCCTGACAGTAAGGGATGAGTTTCTTGGACCTGACACCCTACTGGAGTGTTGAGCTGCTGGGATGGCAGAACATAACGCTCCTCATACAGCGAGGAACACTGCAAAACAGAGAAAGGGGTAAGCAAGATCAGATTCTTCACCACACTCCGGGTATGTCTACATTAGCTCGTTAGTTTGAGCTAGGTATGATAATTAGGGAAACCGGAGTTGCAAATGAAGCCCGGGATTTAAATATCCTGGGCTTCATTTGCATGTTCCCGGGCACCGCCATTTTTAAATCCCCCTTAGTCTGAACTCCGTGCCCGCGGCTACATGCGGCATGGAGTAGGTAGTTCGAATTAGGATCGAATTAGGGATATTTAAATCCCGGGCTTCATTTGCAACTCCAGTTGCCCTAATTACCCTACGTAGCTCGAACTAACGAGCTAGTGTAGACATACCCTCCGAGAGGGCAACATTGTTTGAACAATAATGGCAACAGGATGTGGGACCATCCATCAGGAAGGAACACTTAGTATGTTTTATTAAAGCCTTTAAACACTTGGCAGGAGCTTTGTGAATGAGCAGACACCACAAAAGTCAGGGGTAGGCAGATGTCTTAGCAGAACAAGTTTGTTACAATAGGGAGATTATGAACAGACTAATATCATATCTAAAGAATCTTTGTAGATAAAGAATTACAGGGGAATACGTCATGTTAAAGGATGATGGGGTGTTTTATCATAGAATACTAGGATTGGAAGGGACCTTGAGAGGTCATCGAGTCCAGTCCCCTGCCCTCATGGCAGGACCCAGTACTGTCTAGGACATCCCTGATAGACATTTATCTAACCTACTCTTAAATATCCCCAGAGATGGAGATTCCAGAACCTCTCTAGGCAATTTATTCCAGTGTTTAACCACCCTGACAGTTAGGAACTTTTTCCTAATGTTCAACCTAAACCTCCTTTGCTGCAGTTTGAGCCCATTGCTTCTTGTTCTATCCTAAGAGGTCAGGAAGAACAATTTTTCTCCCTCCTCCTTGTGACATCTTTTTAGATACCTGAAAACTGCTATCATGTTCCCTTTCAATCTTCTCTTTTCCAAACTAAACAAGCCCAATTCTTTCAGTCTTCCTTCATAGGTCATGTTCTCTAGACCTTTCATCATTCTTGTTGCTTTTCTCTGAACCTTCTCCACTTTCTCCACATCCTTCTTGAAATGTGGTGCCCAGAACTGGACACAATACTCCAACTGAGGCCTAATCAGCGTAGAGTAGAGGGAAAGAATGACTTCTCGTGTCTTGCTCACAACACACCTGTGACCATTTCTCCAATTTGTTCAGATCATTTTGAATGATGACCCTATACTCCAGAGCAGTCGCAACCCCTCCCAGCTTGGTATCTTCTGCAAACTTAATAAGCACACTCCCTATGCCGATATTTAAATCATTGAACAGAACCAGTCCCAAAATAGACCCCTGCAGAACTCCACTTGTTAAACCTTTCCAGCAGGATTGTGAACTGTTAATAACTTACTCTCTGGGGACGGTTATCCAGCCAGTTATGTACCCACCTTATAGTAGCCCCATTTAAGTTGTTTTTGCCTGGTTTATTGATAAGAATATCATGTGAGACCGTATCAACTGCCTTACTAAAGTCTAGGTATACCACATCCAGCGCTTCTCCCTTATCCACAAGACTCGTTATCCTATCAAAGAAAGCTATCAGATTGGTTTGACATGATTTGTTCTTTACAAATCCATGCTGGCTGTTACCTATCACCTTATTATCTTCCAAGTGTTTGCAGATGTTTTCCTTAATTACTTGTTCCATTATCTTTCCTGGCACAGAAGTTAAACTGACTTGTCTGTAGTTTCTTGGGTTGTTCTATTTCCCTTTTTATAGATGTGCACTATATTTGCCCTTTTCCGGTCTTCTGGAATCTCTCCTGTCTTCTATCATTTTCCAAAGAAGATAGCTAAAGGCACAGATACCTCCTCTATCAGCTCCTTGAGTATTCTAGGATGGATGGTGACTTGCAGACATCTAAGTTTTCTAAGTGATTTTTAACTTGTTCTTTTTTTATTTTATCTTCTAAACCTATCCCCTTCCCACTAGCATTCACTATGTCAGGCATTCCTTCATCAGACTTCTCAGTGAAGATTGAAACAAAGAAGTCATTCAGTATCTCTGCCATTTCCAAGTTTCCTGTTACTGTTTCTCCCTCCTCACTGAGCAATGGGCCTACCCTGTCCTTGGTTTTCCTCTTGCTTCTAATATATGCATAGAATGTCTTCTTGTTTCCCTTTTAACATATATAACTCTTGAAGCAAAATGGAAGTATACTGAAATAGCTTACAGTCATACAGTAGCCTACATCCTAAAGAGTAGTGTCCAGATGCGCAAAGGGTTGGACATCTTAGAAACATGAATAGTAACTGGCTACAAAGCCCTTTGCAAACTAAAATCACCATTTCACTCTCTGCCATTGAAATGTAATTGCCTCCAAAGTGAAATATGACAGCTACTTAATAGTGTCAGGATTGCATCATGTTTGGTGTGAAACTGGACAGCGGGATTTAGATAGGCAGACTGGATTTAGGCCAAGACTCTGGGGATATTGTTTCTGCACCTGTGAAAAAGTGTCAAAGGAATTTTAAGTTCAGTGAGCACTATTTGCTTGTGGTCAGAGGGGCATCCCAATGAAACAAGATGTTCACATCCTCTGGAGGACGTTCCCCAGTGGAATTATAGTGGAACAGCACTTCTCTTCCCCTGGGAGGGAAACCACACCAGGGCCCTGTTAGTCCCACCCAGCACAGTGGAGTGAAATTGGAACCAGTAGAGAGGTGTTTCAAGCTGCACAACTAAGGGGGACTTGGATTTTTGCTTTTTCACTGAGAGATGGCATCTGCAGCAGCATGGCAGCACCCAGTTGTGCCATGCTGGGACACTGGTTCAGAACTGACTCAGAGGGGAGGGTCTCATCAGAGCTAAGCTGCCGTGCAAGGACGGACAAGAGCTAAACTGGTTTCATGGCCAGAGGTGTCATGGCCATGGGTTTGATGATAATTAAGGCTGAAATAAATGATAGCAGCTGAATCACTGGGATTACAGAGCCATGATTTAGTTGAGAAGGAATTTGAGTGATCAGGTGTGTATGAAATGTAGGATTGTCTTACTTTGGGGAAGAATGTCCGTGTCACAAAGTGCTTGTACTCCAGGAACGGGATCCCCTGGCTGCGGTTTAACTCCTTGGTCAGGTCTGTCATGTCAGTCTGAAGCTCAGCAAAACCTGATCCAAAGAGACCCACACACTGAAAGGAATGAAATAATCTAACAGCCAATGCAGCTGAGTGACAAGCCTGGTATTTGCATACAATTTTCTCATCATCTCTGCTTCCTCATACCCTTTTCCCTGGGAGGCAATGGATTGTATACGGGGCTTAACTGTCAGCATTATGCACCAAACCTTGCAGTTTTTACTCAGGCGAGACTCCCACTGCCTCCAAGACGTAGGCCCTGCAGGGCTTAGTCTATGGCACAAGTGTCCCAATGGATTCTATGGAGAGCCACAGACTGAAAAGAGAATAAATGCAGGCACCTGAAGCTCTTGTCCACAGCTTTTCTAAGCAGTACTATGTGGCATTTCTGTAACTCGCTGCACTGAAGGCTCAGAAAGCATTTTATAAACATTAATGTGATCTCATAAGTACCATCATCCCAATTTTATAGTTGGAGAAACAGATGGTGCTGAGAATATGTGATTTGCCCAAGGCCACACAGGAACACAGTGGCAGAGCCAAGAACTCTATCTAGATCTTCTGACTCAAAGGTCTGTACTTCAACTACTAAGCTATGCTCCTCCCACTGAGATGTACACCTTGCCCACAAGTCCAACACAGCTTGGAGGACTGAAAGAAAGCTACAGAAATTCAGGTTGCATTTCTTATGCTTTTAAGGCTATTCTAAAGCACTAAGGGAGGCTGTTTCCGTCAGATCACTCCGTGGGCTGGGGGCATCCCTACCTTTGTGCATGTGAGTATAAGGTATGGGGAGCTCCTTTCCTTGCACTCTCCTTGCTAGGTTCTTGCAAGCCTGATTTCAGTTGTGTGTCAAAAAAGGAATAAATTTGCAAATGCCAGGAATGGAGCTCCTTTGCTTCCTCATACTCCCTTCCCCCATAACGTCCCTCGTTAGTGGCTGCTACAGACCTTTGCGGATTTCCTCTCGGATCTGGGATTCCATCTCTTCCATTTGGAGCAAGGTTTTCTGCCAGTAGCGCTCTGCCCTGCGGCTCTTAGTGCAGAACACAAACAGGGCTGGGGAAGAAAAAGGGAAAAAGAAGCTTAGAAGGTTAGGCCCATAAGGGAAGAAGCATATTGTAGGAATGGAAACTGGGAGTAGAGAGGAGTTTAGGTCAGCAGAACACACACTGTGAAAATAATCTACACAGAGAAAAAACAATATTCATTTTTGGTTTATCAACAATGAAACAGATACACATCTGATCACACAGCTGCTGATTCTATAAATAAATTAAACCTGCTGGAATGAAATGATCACTCAACAACTATCATATTAAATTTAGGCCTGCATTATATACATTACCAGACTTACTATATGTTAATAAATTCCACCTGGTTAATGAAAATATGTGTGAAGAGATTTACCACTGGTTTTGTAATGTGTGTATCCATCAGGGCTCCTATGCCTCCAGAAATTTGTTTCTAATGACCAGTGGATTATTTAATAAATAAAGCATATAATCGCTTATATTGAAAATATATGAAATTCTTATTGGAAACTCTTCATTTTCAGTGACATTTTTTTCTGTACAGTCATTCAGGGCATGTGAGATAAAGATGAACTAGCCAGATCTGTTTTAAACAACTCCCAACAAGAATGATGTCTAGGCTAGCAGACAGTTGTCAGCTCTACATATGTGGCAATGAGCCCAATACTACATCCTTTATTAAGGTGAGCAGGGTTGCCAGTTCTACCTATATTCATTTGTGCTTCCCTTTATTATATTTTATTTAACTCTGTGAAGCTTTTGGGTGACAGGGAAAGGAGCTCTAAAACTAGAGAATGGCTCACACTTCAAAATTGAGTAGGCTCACTCCTGACCCATTATAAAAAGAAGGGCTATTTCCTGAATGTGGATCTTGGTTCAGACCCAAAGCTCACAGGTTTTTGGATGTGGATCTTTGAGTCAGACCCATCTCCATAAGAAATAAAGTTGGGCATATAAATCATCCAAAGTTCCGTGTACGGAGGCAGTGCCACAGAGCTGAAGGGACCAATGCAGCCCAGGGATCTTCCATTCCCTTACCTACGACAGACAGCAGCAGCAGGATACTGCAGATGACTATAGAGACTATAATCGCTGTCTCACCACCCCCGAGGTGCAGCATAGCAATCGTCTGGTTGAATTTTCCAACCTGGATCTAGAGAAGAGTAGGGAAGAAAAAAAGTCACCCAGTAAGTTAACAAGCAACTAGGAGATCAGCAGGAGCTTGCAACTGGGGAAATGCTTTGCAAGGGAAAAATATCATAAGAACGGAACTGGCAATTTGCTGCCTCAGCCATCTTTAATCTTCACGTGCCATTCCAACGTGACGGCCAATCAATGCTGTACACGGCTGGGCCTGCAGATGATCTCTGTGTGGAAAGGGCCTGACCTGATGCTCCCCCACGTATATCAATGTAGCACAGGAGTAACTCCAGAGATGTTGCTGGAGTTACACTCATGTAAACAGGCATGATGTACTCAGGTCCCCTGCCTTTGTTTGGTCGCTCGCAATGACACACAAAAGTTACTCTGTTGGTTACCCGGCAATATCAGGCGTAAAGGTCATGTGGATTCCAGACATGGCAGCCATAATCCAGTGTAGTCAGGGAGAAGCTCCATTAGGTTTTATACAAATTTGATAGGGTCTATCCAGCAGGATTCCATGGGGATAAGCCACACAAACCAGTTCACTTTTTTTAGTGATATCTACCCAAGAGACCAGCCTTTTCAGAAAGACTTCTGCTCATCAGGCTAGTGCCCAACATCCTCATCTGCATTAGTTAATGTTTATATTGTGGCAGTGCCCACTGGCCCAAATGAGGGTCCATGCTGCATTGTGCTAAGTGTAGAATAAAAGTTAGTCCTTCTGCCCTGAAGAACTTCCAATCAAATGGAGTACAATTGTTAACACAGTTCCACAGTACGTTCCACCCAGACCTGCTGTAAATACAGAACTGCTGCCCATTAGCAAGAGAAGGGTAAGGAGAATTGAAAGACACTGAGTCAAAAATAAAATCAGAAACGAAAATAACTAATCATAGTACTAACAGGGGGCTGACTGTCTTGTGGCAGAGGAACAAGACAAGAAGTCAGGAGACATCGGCTCTACTGCTGACTCATTTGTCACAATTCCCATGACACCATGGACAAGATAGTTAACCTCCGTGCCTCAGTTTCCTCACTTGTATAATTGGGAGGCCAAACATTTTGACCTCACAGTGGGATCATGGGGTTTGATTCATTAATGTTTATGAGATAAAAGGGCAAACCAGCATCTACACAAGGAAGGAAATTCGGGATAACACCATGGTTTCACTTCTGGAAATTAAGTTTCGCTTCTCCAAAAGAGTGAAAAGAAACTTGAGCAAAAACCAGAGTAAGCTTGAGGAGAGCTGGGTGCAATGATCTTAAGAAGATCCACTGAGCAAACTCCTATGGAGAAATGGTCTGAAATAAATGATGAAATTCAATAAGGACAAATACAAAGTACTCCACTTTGGAAGAAATAATCAATTGCACACATACAAAATGGGAAATTACTGCTTATGAAGGCATGCTGCAGAAATGAACTGAGCGATCACAGTAGATCACAAACTAAATATGAGTCAACAGTATAACACTGTTGCAAAACATACACCCCCAAGCATAATTCTGGGATCTATTGCTGGAGTATTATAAAGACATAAGAATCAGAGGGGTAGCATCTGACAAAGTGGGATTTTGCCCACAAAAGATTATGCCTATATAAATTTGTTAGTCTTTAAGGTGCTACAGGACTCCTTGTTGTTTTTAAAGACATAAGACGTAATTCTTCCCCTCTACTCAAACTGATAAGGTCTCAAATGAAATATTGTGTCCAGTTCTGGGTGCCACATTTCCTGAAAGGTGTGGACAAACCTTGAGAAAATTGAGTGGAGGGGAACAAAAATGATTAAAAATCTAGAAAACATGACCTCTGAGGAAAAACTGAAAAAATTTGGTTTGCTTAGTCTGGTGAAGAGAAGACTGAGGATGGACATGATAATGGGTTTCAAGTACATAAAAGATTGTTACAAAGAAGGAGGGTGAACTATTATTCTCATTAATCTCTGAGGCTAGGACAAAAAGCAACGGGATTAAATTGCAACAAGGGAGGTTTAGGTTGGATATTACAAAAAACTTACTAACCTAGGGTATGTCTACACTTGCAACCTATTTTGGAATAGGGCTGCAAATGTAGGCATTCGGAATTGTAAATCAAGCCTGGGATTTAAATATACCGCACTTGATTTGCATCTTCCCGGCCAGACACCATTTTTTTTTAATTTACAAGCCCGGAATAACTGCCCGTGTCTACACACAGCAGTGAAACGGGCGTTCGAAATAAAGCCCTAATTCGAACTACCTGTTAAGCCTCATTTCAGAAGGAATAACAGGTAGTTAGAAATAGAGCTTTATTTCAAACGCCCGTTTCACTGCTGCGTGTAGACGCGGGCAGTTATTCTGGGCTTGTAAATTTCAAAAAAAAAAAAAAAAAAAAAAAAGGCGCCCGGCTGGGAAGATGCAAATCAAGCGTGGGATATTTAAATCCTGGGCTTGATTTGCAATTCTGAATGCCTACATTTGCAGCTCTGTTCCAAAATAGGCTGCAAGTGTAGACGTACCCCTAGAGAGGTTGTGGCATCTCCACCACTGGAAGTTTTAAAAAAAAAGGTTAGACAAACATCTGTCAGGGATGGTAAAGTTATGATTTAGTCCTGTCTTAAGTGCATTTAATCCTGTTTTCTATATACCTATTGAATCCAATGTACCATCAGGTAGTTTTTCAAATGAGATTTATTTCAGTTACAAATGATGACAAAAATAAGTTGTTTTCGATGGCAGGAATTTTACTAGAACCTCGGTGCTGTAAAAATGTTCTTGAGTAACAGGATAGCCCTGTTGTAACTAGCAAAGAAGGGACTCTTCAGCTGGCTTTATTCCTTATATTAGAAAAAATGTATACAGAAGGCGGGAATTCCTTGAATGAGTGTGAACATGCGCATGCACACATCCATCTCTTTACAGGCTTTATGAATATACTGAAGGTGTTAATCAGACAGCCACTGTGGAAATACATATTGTGGTGAGGTTTCCATGCCTTTTGTCTGAAAAAATTCTAACAAGGAAAGATAAATCTGTATTTTACATTCTATTTTTGTATTCTAGCCAACATGCCCCAAACTTGCATTATTGCCAGGAAAAGAAATCCCAGTTTCAGCGTTTAAATGATTCTGCAGTGTACTAAAATGGGTTTGAATGTCCCTTAAGGTCTGTTGATCTTTTTGCATGGATCTATTAAAAATCCTTTTTATAGGTACACCCTGTTGGCTAGTGTGAATTTGGTTCAGAGCTAAATTATGAAGTTTCCTCACTCTACCACCGAGTGGCGGGGTACAGTACAATTCTGCTTTTACAATTCTCTGGCATGCTGCTCTCCCTACATGGGCACAATTTCCATTGACTTTATGGGAGATTTGCTAACTAGCTTGGTCAAGGGTCATCATCAGGATCAGAAGAAATTCCCCCATCCTGGATGACAATTTTAAAGGGAAAGCTTCCTATGTGCAGAAACAGCTGCACTCACTACTAATTGTGGGTGCAAGTCCTACCATTTAGACAGCTGTGTGAAACTCATATTTTGCCATCCAAATGGAAGGATTTGCCACATTATTTACTTGCACCTCTACTGAAGGTAGGTACACTGCTAAAAACCAGCTGTGGCTTTAGTAACATGTATCATCCCCTTGTTTATCTACATTCTAGGCACCTGCAAGGTATTAACCCAGGGTTCAGCAACCTTTGGCTTCCGGCCCATCAGGGTAACCTCTGACAAACCATGAGACATTTTGTTTACGTTGACCATCTGCAGACATGGTTCCCTTCAGCTTCCAGTGGCAACGGTTGGCCATTACTGGTCAATAGAAGCTGCAGGAAGCAGAGACAAGCATGTCCCTGTGTCCCATGCCACTTCCTCTGGCTCCCATTGGCTGGGAACAGCAAACTGTGACCACTGGGAGCTGTGGAGAGCCATGCCTGTGGACAGCTAACAAACAAAAAGTCTCACGATCCTCCAGAGATTAACATGTGCCAAAACTTGCTGACCCTGGCATTAACCAGAAAGCTTGCTGTTGAAACCAAAGCTAGCAAGATGTGAATCACAAAGCTAGTATTTTTTTAAATAAGAATTTCCCCAGTTTTTCAGTTCCCAGTAAAAAGAAAATAAAAGAATTTCCCTGTTTCATTATCAGCGGCTTAGGAACTCCTAGGTTCTGCTACTTCTGCATTTGTTTCTTTTGATTTTGCATAGAATGTCAAGTCAAAAGGCCATAAGCAATGCATAAGGAGCCTCCCCCGACAGAAGCAGGGGGGTTTCTTCTGAAGTACTCTGTTTCTGGGGAACATCAGGCCACACATTCTTCAAATCCCTCTGTATTCTTCCTACCTCCCTAAGCTGCAATTTATTACTAACACATTTACTGGAAGAAGAGTCAGCAGGGATGGAGGTTACAGGTTCTCAGGCAGCTGAGACAGGTGGAGACATTCTCTTCAACTGTGAATAGCTTTAATATCACCCCTGAGAAGCCAAGGGCAATAAATGAAGTGAAAGCTGAAGGCAAAGGCATACAATTAGGGATGCCCTCTTGAAAAACGGGGTAAGGGTCAATAGTAAAGCCACAACACAAACCCTCCAAAGAACAGTTGAGAGCTGCTTTGACATCAAAACAGCCTTGGATCCTGTCCCTGGAGTTCTAGCACACTGCAAAGGGCCAGTGAAATGATCTAATATTGGGGAACGATGCCAGACCAATGGCCTTGGGGACAACTGAATTCCTCTTTGAATCTGCAAAGCAGCTACAGATGGGCAATGACGAAGTGAGCTTCCCAGTGCTGCCCCGTCCCTTCCACTGCATCTCCTTTCTGCCACTACATGACTGAGGTCTTGTCTGCACTACAGCGGAACACTGACCTAAGTTACGCAACTTCAGCTATGTGAAATAATTTAGCTAAGCTCAGCGTACTTAGGTCTGCTTACCATGGTGTCTTCACCACAATAAGTCAACAGCTGCCGCTCTCCCGTCAACTCTGCTTACTCTTCTCATTCTGGTGGAGCACTGGAGTCGACAGGAGAACACTAGGCAGTCAATTTATTGCATCTATCAGATGCGATAAACTGACTCCCCGCTGGATTGATTGCAGCTCATCAATCCAGCCTGTAGTGAAGATATGTCCTGAGAGGGACATTCAAGTCTGCATTCCCATTTAATCCTTCGCGCTGCTAATGACACTGATCACAAGGGGGCCTGATGATTAGTAACAGGGCTGGGAAACACTAAACTCATTTCGCATGAGCCATTTAAAGAAAAACCTTTTAGTGGAGAAGAATCCGGTGACAGTGGGCGTTTATATTGCATCGCTGGAACTGTGCGATTTCCCTCTACAGCTCATCGTGCAGCCAGCCAGTTCTCAAATGAACTCACCAGGACCATAAGCCATCATTTGGCTGTCGGCACCCAGAACCTGCAGGGAAATGGTTGCCTTCTCCATGCTTTCAATGTCACAGAATCAGTAGGCCACATCCTGAGATGTGCTCAGCCCCAATAACTCCTCTGAGAGGTGCTGGAGCTCAGCTCTGGTCAGTATTTCACACACAGAGTGGATGATGGAAAAGGCCTCTCCATTCATCTAGTCCAATCCCTCCCCCCAGACATTGCAGAATTGTTCGCAATGGCATGTTCACTTAGTGCTTTGTGCAGGCAAGTGCTGAGGGAATCCTGACACTAACATGAGGGTTCCCTGGTATAGTAAATTCAATACTCTGAGTGCACCTGCTCTGCAAAGCCAGAGCATCCCGGTTTGTGGCACTCACCGTCACAGGAAGCTGTCTTTCTGATGTGCTCAGTGACTCGTTGACTGAACAGTGAATGACTTTGTCTGAAACAATCTGTATCTCACAGGAAATGAGGCCAATTTTCACTTGGTACTCATCGCTTTCCAGGCCTAGGCTGTCAGGCTCTTTCTAATTACAAAAACAAAATCAGGACAACAAAATGAATGAGTCAGTCCCCAGAGCACCAGGCCCACTTGCAAAGGCTTCTTTTGTGGAAGCTTTAGGAAACTTCCTGTGACTCTTGACACCAGTCCATCCCGAGGAAAGCCCTCCCTCTCTGCTGACATCTTCAATTTTTTCCAGCATTCCCTGGGAAATCCAGCCTCTTCCCATTCCTCATTTTCTGTTTCCAGTCCTCACCATCTCTCAGTGTGGCACATGGAATAGACAAACACTCTGACAAAGCCTGGAAAACGCTGCCTTTGATCAGCACTGTTTGTGCATAGCACATACCTATCAGAGAGGCCAGCCGGGGAGGGAGAGAAATGGGGAGGAGGTTGTCCTAAACAGGTTGTGGATGGCTGCATTAGGGAGAGGGAGAGTATGTCTTTGAAACATGCATCATTCACTAAGGACAGTCTATAACAAACAAGGGCTTTTAAACTTGTACATTACCCATACCTCTCAGTACTGGATTTCCCACAAAGACAAATGCAGAGCCCATTTCTGCAAGAACCAATCTTCACTATCATAACATTAGATATGGAAAAGATGCTTTGGTCACTTAGTCTGTTCCAAGTACATCTAGGGCTTTATCTCTGTCCTTGTTGCTACATCCTTCAAATGCAGTACAAGGGTATTATAATCCATAGCGCTAGGGCATCACTTGGTCAGCCTACTAACTCCAACACCCTGCTTGGTTCAGCCGGAAACTGCAGGCTAATCAGAATGTAGCATTACCTTTCACCCCTCATACCTTCTCCCTATTGCATTTATAAGGCACTCCTGAGCGACCCTGGTATCTAGGTACTCTAGCCACTGAAGAGCCTCACAGACAGAAAATGGTGAAATCCTCCTTATTGCTGAGAATCCTGAATGCTCTGTCAGTATTAGTCTCTTACGTGTATAACCAGAGTCAGGGGTTCCCCAGGATGGTGCTTGATCCATTTCTCCTTCTTGGCTGTGAAGAACTGGGGGTCTGCGTAGTACTCCAGGCTGAACTTGCTCGTATGCTGGGCCTCCTCAGGGTGCATGTACTCATCAGAAGCCAGCCTGTCATCCTTGTAGAGGTGTCCATTGATGTAGAAGTCCACCGGTGCTGGCTTGCTCCCCACAGTGATGTTGGAGGCAGCTGGAGAGGGGCAGGTAATCATAGTGTCGGTGTGAACCTTACAGTTCTGAAAGCAGGAAAGAGCATGTGCATCAAAAACGGATAAACCCAAGTCTCTGTCATGTGTCAGCAAATGTCCTGAGAGGCCCAGCGCCCTCACGCTGCTGCAGCTACCTCAGATAGCATTGCTCCATTTAGCCACCGATTGACAGGCACCTGTGTGTGCCAACTGCCATACACCAGTAAGCACCTGGCACAGTGATGGCACTGTAAACAATAAAATAAAGTAGAATAGCTAAGGTATGCCATTCTACTGAGCTAAGGAACATAGCAGTCATCCCAGCCATAGCCCCATCAGCAGCAAGGGTTACGGACATTGTTGCAAGTTACACACTTGCGCGCATGCACAGAGAAAAACAGGGCTGTGCAGTAGCATGGCAGGAGGCAGGTGACTGCTCAGGTAGCAGGTAGGCGGCTATTCCAGTGGCTGGGGGGCA